GAAATACATGCAGAAAATTTTAACTGAATTACCTATTTACATTGTGTTTTTACTTTACTTTAAAAAATGTGTCGGGTGAACGCAGACTTTATTGGCTATGTGTACATACAATTATCGAAGAGAAATTTTGCGAAACTTTTACTATATAGTTATACTTGTATACAAGAATATTCACAGTGATAACGAATTTTGTGATTCTGTAATTTTTAACGATGAGTCCAAATTTAATTTATTTGGATCCAATGATCGTCGATTTGTATTACGGAAGGATGGCTAAGCGACATAAGACAACACACAAGAACAATTAATAAGACTGTCAGCATGGAGGACGCTGTATTTTGTGGTACAATGGAAGCAAAACGGGTGCAGTGGTAGCAAATGACGTTGATAACCTTGTTTTCATCGATGGAATTATGTAAATAATGGACTACTGGCAATATAAAAATAATTTGATAGAAAAGTTCTGCAGAGTTGCATCAAATTTTTGTCGGGGCATATGGTGATCATGTTCAATCAGAAGCAACTTGCAAAAGATGGTTTCAACGCTTCAGAGATAATGATTCTGAAGTGAGAAATAAATAACCCATGTTAAATGTTGCACAAAAAATAGTTTCAAACCGTTTAAAAACTATGGGAATGATCGAAAAGTGTGGAAAATGGATGCCATATGAAATGAATGAAAAGCAAATGGAAAACCTAAAATACATTTGTGAAATTTTGCTTCAAAGACACGAGAGAAAATCAGTTTTGCATCGAATTGTCACTGGCGATAAAAATGGATTTATTTTAAGAATCCTAAACGGAGACTGCAAAAATAGATCGATTCGGTAAGAAGGCAATGCTGTGTGTTTGCTGGGATCAGATGAGTGTGAAATACCATGAGCTTCTAAAACCTGGTGAACAATGACCTGGACAATAAATGACCAATTTGAACCATGCATTGATCGAAAAATAAACAGAGTGGGCCAGAAAACACGGCAAAGTAATTTTGTTGCACATCAATGCACTTGCAGATAAAACAAAATCGGTTCAGGATACAATCAAAGTACTTGGCTAGGAGCTGCTACCCTACCCGCCGTATTCACCAGACTTGGGACACGCATTGGCTGAGTAGCACTTCGATTCCTACGGTCGAATTGGGTGTCTGATTGGTTTTCTTTTCTTTTCAAAAGACGAACATTATATTGGCATTAGTATTACACTTGGTATTTTTTTTAACTTAATGCGATTTTTTAGCAAAATTAGTAAATGCAGTCGATTTAGATCTGTCCTACCGCTTTAAACCTATTATAAATATTTTCTTTGGTTGACTTTATTGCAGCCGTGGCGGTCATATGCCAGAAATCATATTTAAAATGTAATGTCACGAGATCGGATAAATAAAATTCATGTCAATCGAATAATCCATCGTTGTTTTATTGCAATGGTAAGTTCTATACCTCTAAAAAACAACACCCTATACCTTACCTAAGATAACATATTGATTATACAATCCTAAATTTAATATCGAGTACGAAAACGTATTAATAATCATAACATAAGCTAATATCGTCCAAAAAATAAGGAAAAACGGTTTTAAATGTTACTAATAACGATTACTGAATTAAACATGCCTTTAATATAACAAAAAGAGAGAGTATATAGGCAATGTTCAGTTGACACTAAAATATAATATATGTATGTATCTTTCTTATGTGCTTGAAGGTTGTTGTTGTGCTCTCTTTGAAGTTTCGGCTAATTCTCAGTTTTTTTGATGGATTACACAAATACTTATATTATGTGTAGTTATTCCAATTTATGGTTTTGATAATTTCAAAAGAGATTTCCAATCGAGCAATCTGTCAACTGGTCATTCAGATACACAGTTGTACCAATGGCTTAGTTCGAATTACCACTGCTTGGGTCCCGTTGTTTTATTATTATGCTATTATCCCTATCCTTTCACATAAACTTTCTTTCCTTATCGTCGATTCTATTTGTCTCTCTGTTTTGCCAGCAAGGCATTTAAATAATCGTTCTTTTCTATCTACCCCGGATACACATACTCGTACACACTCTTTTCATGAGATACTTGAAGGCAAGCGAAATTAGCCGATTAGTTAACTAATAGTTTTGCTACCTACGTTACCATAAAACTTACCCTTAGAGTCATGGAGATCTGTTTTGTGTTAGGAAAATCCAGGTATATTGTAATATAACGTAAGTATGCTATTATATTTTTGCTGTATCTAGCTAATTATCTCTTATTGTTGTTATTTGAACTGTAAAAGAGTTGGATTTTAACTACTGAAGATTTTATGGCACACTTTAGAGATATATAGCTATTTTTGAGAGACTACCAAGGCATCAACAATAACTACCTTTGTAGTAGATCTGTAGTTTTTTACCCGACTGGATTATTGAAGACAGGATAGTATAGCCCTAACCATTTTTCGCGATCTATAAAGGAATCGACTGGTGTCGATATTATGAAGTGTTAGACCGAAAAGACGAATTGATTTAGAATTTAGATTGAGATGTCTAGCTGAAACTTTTGGATACATTTTTGGTCTAGGTGATAGTACAGAAGCCAATTGTTAAATTTCGAAATGAATAAAATAACTAGAATATTATAAATTCTCTCTGTACAGGTTTAATTGTCAAAATTAAATCTATATTTTTATTGAGACTGAAATTAAGTCTAAGTCGTTATGGTTTTACTAGTATATTTGGAAGGGTTCATGGCCATCATTGTTATTTTATTTTGAATGATTGTGAGTGAGACTCGTCTAACTATAATGCTCATCTTTGGATAAATCGTCTGAATCATGATTGTATTAGACCTTAATCAGGAGTTGGTTAAAACTGTTAGATTAGACGGCTGATCTCTAGACTGTTAAATACAGTCCTTCAATTGTTATCTGGCTACAACTCCTGTACTTGTATATTAAATATAGGCAAGGTATCTTGCACCTATCACAAATCAACTACAATGAGGAGTCTCTAGAGTACGGTCACTACAACTGTAGTATTTTGGAAAAAACGGTTGATATATTTGAACTTTTTTACGATTTTCGAATATTTTTAGTAGAACCCGCAAATATACTTGTAGTTTAGCGCCTGCTTTGAGATACTTTAATTATTGCTGCTGTCAATAAGAAATATGAAGGTTTTTACCAATGAAATTATCTTTTTACCTTCAAAGACTTATATTAGAAGAGGCGAAATTAAGAGAGCGATTTTTTATCTAGACTAGGCATTATCAGCCGATGTGTCAAATACCATCAGTGGTAAAACAAAATACTCCACTAACCTTTTTATGAGCGCATGAATTATTTTTATACTCTCGCAACCTGTTGCTACAGAGTATAATAGTTTTCTTCACCTAACGGTTGTTTGTATCACCTAAAACTAATCGAGTTAGATATAGGGATATATATATATATAAATGATCAGGATGAAGAGACGATTTGAAATCCGGGTGAATGTCTGTCCGTCCGTCCGTCCGTGCAAGCTCTAACTTGAGTAAAAATTGGTTTGTATTGCAGATGGGCGTAATCGGACCACTGCCACGCCCACAAAACGCCATTATTCAAAAACAAATAAATTGCCATAACTAAGCTCCACAACAAGATACAAGACTCTTATTTGGTATACAGGATCACAATAGGGAGGGGCATCTGCAGTAAAAAATTTTTTAAAGTGGGCGTGGTCCCGCCCCTAATAGGTTTAATGTGCATATCTCCTAAACCGCTAAAGCTATAACAAAATTCACTGGAAGCAAATGTTTTTAGAACCTCTACCTACAGTGTAAAAATAGTTGAAGTCGCGATAAATCAAGCACTAAGCCCGCCAGAGACATTAAATTTTATCTCTGGGATGGTATGAGATGACTATATAGGAACCGCGTTCAAATTAGACAGTGGGCGTGGCACCGCCCACTTTTAGGTGAAAACCCATATCTTGAGATCTGCTTAACCGGTGCATAACGTTCTTTTCATATTTCTATATCATAGTGCGAAAATGGGCGAAATCGGACTACAACCACGCCTATTTCCCATATAACACCATTTTCAATTCCATTTGATTCTGTCACTTTCCACTATGCATATCAAGCAAAAATGATTGTATCGGGGTAAAACTTTGCGTGAATAATGCGTTTGAAGTATGCCACCTTGTGACTAAATCGAGTTAAAACTATTCAAGCCCCTAGGTAATGAATATGTGGACCCCAGTGCCTATTGCTAAATTTTTACCGAAAATGTCGGTCAACATAGAACAAGGCGGCAAGATCCACAAAGAAATCTAAAACGAGTATACCATTTGACTTTGCGAGAGTATAAAATATACGGTTACATCCGAACTTAGCCCTTTCTTACTTGTTACTACTACGTTCGGTTGGATATCTCCATGTCTCACATAAATTGATCGATATTTTTCTCGTAAAATTATAGACTTTTTTATCTCAACTTAATACTTCAACGTTTTTCTACCCAAGCGTAATTCGCTGATACAGCTGTAGTTTTTGGCACGTTAATAGCCGCTATTTTCACCAAAAAATAAGAAATAGGTTATAAGCAGCGATTACTTGAAAGGGTTATATGAACGGTAAGAATTGGTGGTTGCTTGGTTGAAGCTTCATTGTGTTATTATTCGAACATTTATTTGCAAGAGGAGTGACAAGCCAAAGTTACTTCAGTGAATCAAAACAAGATCGACCAAGTGTTTGAGATCTGAACATAGACAAATAACCTTATGTTGGAACCCGTTACTACAGACCGGCACAGAGACAACGAACCCCGTGGACGACCAAAATAGAGATAACTGACATTCTAAGCATATCAAAGGAACGCAACACCAATATTATCAATGAAAATTCGTAGGACTTTTAGGAAGTTATTGCCTTTTAAAGCAAATACTTCTTTTACTATTGAAATTCTTCCGAATAGTTGGGAGATCCCTATAAGCAATTACTGTATAATCCCCGATTGCATCTTCTATATTGAATAAAGAATCAAAAGTTAGTAAAAAAACTTTTGTGTTTTCTTTGAAATATGCAGAAATTAGCAGCTTATTTTTATGAGTACTACTTAGAACATATTGAACGCAGATTCCTTTTTCAAGGCCAAATAATCTTGATCAATTAATTTATAGTAAATTCGTAATATAAAAAACTTATAATAAACTTAATAAAAATTATTGTACATATTTGAACACGTTTCGTTTAACATTTTAAAGGCACTTTTGGAAAGCGATTTTTGAAGGTCTCACATTTCGGTGTCGTAAAAGAGAAAGAACCATTCAATGCTCTTGCTGACTCGCCGAGAGAGTTAGCTCTGTAAGCTTTAAGCACATAAGTGGTATCAAATTTTAGTCTATTAAATTCCACTGCGTCTTGCTGTGAAACAAAAGAACAACGTAAATTTCTTTTAGCTCAGCGTAAATTTCAAATGTGTGAAATGCTCACCTTCACCCTTATGGCGCTGTATTCGCGCTGCTCGCAGTTTCTTTCTTTTGGACATAATTCGTAAACCCTAAATTTATACATAAATTTCTTAAATTTATATTTGCAATTGATTTTCAATCTTCACTCACTTCTCTTTATGCGGTAGAAATCCCGTTATTTGTACAATCATGCCAAACTTGCGACTAAACCGATAATTTACTTCATACCCTTGAGCTGTTGATGCTGCTAATGCAGTAGTTGGCTTGGGCACTCTTTCAAGCGGTCGTGATAGGTGATTTCCAAAGCTGGTGTCAATAGTTTGTTCTTGTTCATGGCCGTGATGCGAACACTTGAGTGGTTTGTAGGGCTCCGCCGGTTGGGTGGTGTTATACAGTATCGAGCACTTGTCTGACTTTAAACGACGACTGCCATTGATGGATATGGATTGGACTTGAATGTAGTAGCTGGACTCTGGCAAAAGTTCCTTTATTTCGAAATAGTGCGTCTATTGGTGAGAAGAAGTAAAGAACAAAAATATTTTTCATATTTTTACAAAAATTACAGTCGTGAGCACTTTAAAAACTGTAGTTCTCAGTTTTCCGCCTAATGAACTCTCCATATTACTGGGCTGGAACCATGGTTTATTTCTCTTACCCACTTACTGTTTACTGGAACTTAGCGAGCTTTGAGCAATCGCCAGTACTTTACTTCTTAAGACATTTTTACGCATAATCGGAAATCTATCACAAAACATAGTATATCCTAACCTAAGCATTTACACCAACATTGAGAAGGTTGGGCAATACTCGTCTGATGAAAAAACGAGGTTCGATGTGCAAAATACAGAAACTTATGGGACTTTTATTATATTACACTAATAGTATGTACGGTAATGCACTTACATCTTTGACGTATGTTTCATTCGTTATAACTGATTCATCGTTATTTCTCACATAGAGCGACCATATGACTTTATACTTTTCAATTGGCGAATTCGACTTCGATGGGCACCAAGCAATTTTCACTTTAAAGTGGTGACCATTAAAAAGGGCGGAAACCACTTGCACATCAGCAGGAGACTTGGGAGGCTTGGGATCTAAGAATATGTAATACATACATATACCATATATTATTATGTTTAAGGGGATGCATAGAAGTAAAACCTGGTACTCACTGTGTGTTAAGCGAAATACTTTGGAGGGTTTAGAATAGCCACGGAAACCATATGCATTAATTGCCGCTACACGCGCTTGGTACCAGTAACCAGGTTTAAGATTAAAGGAGATATCAATTCTATAATGGTGAGAAAAAATTAAGTAGTCAGAGTATAACTTTACGGTAGAGTTGTTTGGTTGGGTCAACAAACCTTTTACTGCGTGCATCCGAAATTTCGGCAATTTTCTCCACCAGCTGACATTGCCACGGGCTAAGCTTTCGCTCAGCGTACGACATACCGAAGTGATACCGCACTTCCACATGACAGTAGTAGGTAGAATTGGCCGAAGACTCAATTCTGATTTCCACCTTGTTTCCGCGCCCCATTTTGGAATTTATGATTTTCGGTATTGGTGGCAACAACGCATCCTCCCGCACGTCGAACGCTTCGACACAGACTGGTCCGCAACCAATGTCGCAACACTTCTGCACAAAAGGACAATCCGAGTCGTACACGCAGTTGTCGAGGCACGTAAGCTGCAGTAATGGCGAGCGTTCGGGTAGTGTAAAATTTCGCTTGCTCGGACAGAAACCACGTCGTGGTTCACGATAAATAGACGCTTGGCACTGTTGAAAACAGATTAGCGGATCTTCCATGGTAGTTCTCACACTATCGACCGCACACTTGGCATTACATTGCAGCTCCACAATTTTATCCTTCACATCAATAGCTGAGCAGTGTTGGATAGCTGCTGCGTTATGGTGCGAGGCGTGGGCGAGCTGTTTGCCCATTATGTGCTGCACATATTGTAACAAAAAGAGTGTGGTGCAAATAGACGTGTACACAGGGTTAACTGTGAGTGAATTATCCATTTTTGCAGTAGAAAGCGGCTACAGATAAAAGGGATGAATGTAAAGTGTTACACGAGTTGAAATTTATTACATAACATATAAAAGGTCGCGTCTATATAAAATACTTTTTAAAATTAGTTTCCCAAAAAATATTGTGAAGTAGGGGACCTTTCCGGTACAATTAAAAGCTCATACTTAGAGAGATTTTTTATTAAAGATATGTCTAAGAGCCTATTTTTCAGAGTACCAAACGAAAACATATTCGTTTTGTTATCCCAACCTAATATATATATTTTATAGGGTATTCGACGTTTCTGACAAACTTCTTGGCAAACTTAATATATCAGGGTATAAATATTATATTATTATAATATTTAGTAGATATCAAAAAGAAATGTTGATAAATATTTTTATCAATCACTTTCAAAATTAAACCTCAAGTACAATTAAATGAGTTCTTATACCGTCAATAACGTTTACGCCTATATATTTATACAATATCTTCACTGTATGGAATACTTTATAATATTATATAATATAATAGTATATGTATATAGATATGTAGATTATAATATATTGATATATAATATAATGTTTAAATAAAAATAATAAATAGTTTTGAAAACAGTATAGTTAAAAATAACTGAAGATAAATACTCGAATATATCCTGAAACACTAGTAACACTTGATTATCGAGTTCCGTAAGCGAAGTAAATTGCAGTATTATGTGCGATTGTTAGGAGATGCACCCGCGACACGCAACACGCAACGTAAGAGAAGCAAAACTAAAGACTAAATGCGGATCAAGTGCTGTGCTGCCTCGTTGCTCTGTTGATCTCTGATCGAATGTACAAGATTGACGATCGAATTGAAATTTCGCGAGTGCAGGCGTTGCGCTTTCCATTGCAATTCATGTCGTCTCGCAGAGAGTGTGGGAAGAGGTCAGCGAGTATCTCTAGCGCGTTAAAGAAATTGGCGCGAGCATTTAGCTCAGATATGTATACGCAATATAAAACACGAACCTTACTACATACATATATACATACACTAGTTGCATTGTGGAAACCACAGCTGCTCATTGATTCTCATATTTATACATATTTTATGCGATTAAATTCGTTTAATTCATGCACTTTCATTATCACTTTTATGTAGATTTGTATGAATGTCTGAATGTGTAGGCATGTGTTTGTATGTTATAAGCATGTATGTACTACAAGTATATACATAAATATGTAGCATACGAGATATTTCTGATAAGAAAGCCGCGCACTGCTTGCGACATCAAGACGGACATGCATTTATGTATATACAAATATATTATACATACATATGTACATATTTATCACATCTAAGTTCATCTATATATACAAACATGTATATATATGCACATATTAATATATATACATATATGGTATATATACATATATAGTTTTTTTCTAGTTTACGCGAAGTTCTCCAAATTGCAACAGTCTTTAATAAAGTAATACCCCTTAAAGTTGAACAATGGCTAAGCAAAACACTTGCCGTCGAATAAAACTCAAATGTGGGTTAGAATTACTCCAGAAACCATAAATTTGGTAGTAAGTTGATATATCAGGCCAAAGGCGCAATCTCGTTAATTTGAGTAGAAATTGGGATAAAGCGGATTAGTTCATGTCGACAACTTTTGTCACTATGTTTCATTTCATATCCTAAATATCAGTAAATATGTGAGCTATATTAAATAAAGTAATTATATGCTTGTATTTTTCTAATCATAAGTGGATTTCATAAACTGAACTTGGTTTAGTATTTCCTCATGTCCTCATTTTCTTAGACATAACGGTTTTTGTTGTCAAAAATTTATGAAATCTATCCAGCCCTACCTCTAGCGACCATATTAGAAATATACCGATCTATGTTCGACTTTCTATCATCTCCATGAAATTCGACGGGTCTGTTACCTTTAGCCTAAATTAATGCCTAGTGGTTTCAAGGAGGAATATTAAGTTCGGTGCGATAGCATAAACTAATACGATATCACGCTAGTTCACAATTTCAACTATTTTCTTATGAATAATTCGTATGTCATATATTGTATAGTAAAGATTTGCAGGCATGTCGAAATATTTCCCAAATTGCAAAATAAATAGTATTCGGTTTATGGATCTTAGGTATATTTACGTTACTTGAAGTTCGCTCTTCTTTGCTTCTTATATATAATTATAGTGTTGCAAGGAAAATATTTTGACTTTTGTCACGTACAGTTTAGAAAAACAACGTCAGTACGTGCGTTTCTATGATTTCAAATGTTGCAAGTTATATTTTTAATAACATTTCGATACATACATATAAATGCAATATACATATGTATACACATATAGATAGATATACTCCTTATGTACTGCATGGGCTAAAAAGCCTTGAACTGACCATGAGATCGCACCACAAGCCAAAGATCTCTGCCCTTGTCTTGGAATACTAATCCTATTTTAGACCAGTGCAGAGGCCTTTGAAAATTGTAAAAAGTGAAAGATATTCAAAGTAGATTACAAACGAATGACAAAATAACAAAAATTAAAGGAAAAATAATTTACGGTCAATCTGAGGTCAGGAAGAGAGGAGGTGCGTGTTAAAGGTAAAGGTATTTAAGGGGTAAAAACGATTTAACTCGATTTCCGGCTACAGTTTCCAAAACTACGAGTCCAATAGAAAAAAGTTAAGTGGCAAAGTTATTGGTAATGAAAAGATCTATAACTTTTGTATTAACACCTTTTTCACATAACTTCAAAATTTATGTAAAAAATTTAAATATCCAAGTTTTGGGGATTTTTATTTTTTTCTTGTATAAGTAAAAAAATTCTTTCTAAAAATTTAATGTAAACTTACGTTCTTATGCCCCAAATACACTGTTTTATATTATTTAAAATGAAAATATTTATATAATTTCTTTGCTATTTAGAATAAGGCCATGTCTTCATTCAGAAAACCTTATATCATTGTTAGTCCAAAAACGTTAAAGTCCGCATAGTATCAGAACTTATTTGGTGTATTCAATTAAACTTAACCGAGATCTATAAAATTTAGCGTTTATTTACAAGAATTTCATTTTGATTGGTAAGTTTATATGGCAGCTACATATGTGTCATAGTGGTTTAATCTGAAAAATTTTCTCAAATGTTGTAGCGTTATCTTGGGCAATAATTCATACCAAATTTCGTTAATATATATCGTGTCAAATAAAAAAGTTTTCCATACAAGAACTTTATTCTCAACGTTCAGTTGTATTGCAGCTACATGCTACAGTGGACCGATTTTGGCCGTTCTGACAAATGAGCAGCTTCTTAATGAGGAAAGGACAGGTGCAAAACTTAAGATCGATAAATTAAAAACGACTCAGCTCGTCACGGTGATCATTTATATACATATATTATATATTTTATAGGCTCTCCGACGTTTCGTTTTGGGTGTTACAAATATTATGGCAAACTTAATACTATACCCTTCTCGGGGTATAACAAATATCATATCAAAGTATAGTTTTTTTGTCGAAGATCTAATATTCACATATTAAGTCGTTTATCTACCCATAAATATATATACATATAAAGTACGTCTTCTCATTCCACTTTCACTCATGCCACATTCTATTTGCAACATCAACTTTCGCAATAAATTATGAAAATCCAAAGAAGACAAAAATGTCAAATTGATAAAATTTAGGAGAGAAAGGAAATTGTATTACCGAAAGACGTCAACCGGCGAGAATCCCCCAACGAAGCCTACATATATCCCCACAAGCCCACACTGCTATAGACCATTAGCAACAACTTTACCAACTCTTGAAGACGCAACAAATGATGTTTGGAGCGATACGGAGACGGAAGACGGTTGTACGTGTTTGTAGGTGGCAGAGGCAAGAGCTGCAAATTAAAAATGGCCACTTTGATAGCGATGCCAAATTTTGCGATTTAGGTCACAAATGCTCACACCCTGCCATAACTGTGCCTGGATGCTTGTGTGGGTTGTGATTGCGGCAATGCAAAGCCATTGCGAAGTTGTGTTACGTTGTGCTCGTGAGCTACATTAATACACTTGTGTTCGTGTGTGTATGTAGGCCACAGGCTCGACCACTATTACATTAGCTAGTCAATAAATTGGCATCGATAAACGCTTCCATAGCCAATGAGTGTGTCAAAATGGGCGCCCTCATAGCGGATTTGTTGCGAGAATTTATTGAACGAGCACACTTTACATTGGATTTATTGGCTTGCAAAGTTCATAAAACTCATAGCCACCTACATATATGCATACATATACAAATGTATTTAGATATGTGTTATAGGTTTGTGGGCGAAATTAATTTAAATCGCGACCTCAACACAAGATAGCGCCATCCATTGAACGCTATGTTTGCTTAACTCCGTCCTCACAGCTTGACGTGTGCTGACACTTCGGCGACATGTTGTGACCCCGTACTAGCTGTAACTAAATTAAATATCTAATGCATCTAATTAAGTGTCCAGCTGTGCCTGCAAATTAATTGAGGATTAATTGATATGTCACAAAATCTATGACTATGGCACACTACTACAACAACAACTGAAATTGCACTTAGTACTACAACAGAAAAGTGAGTAAAAACCTTACAAGAAACTGCTGCCCTACAAGAAACTGCTGTTGGTTTCACAAATGCTCTGACATTTGTTAGGACAGTCGTGACGTTCAATTTACTTGTCAATTGGCTGTCCCTTTTGTTGTTAAAAAGAGACACCTACGACCTATAATGCTTACTATAGCTTTACATATGTAAGTAAGAACGAAATACTTAGCTGAACTCTTTGGTACTGCCACCACAAATGATCAAATTAATAGTCAAATTACTGTCAATGTTTTTTCCAAAAGCAAATTTTGTATACGTCAAAAAAAAACAGCAGACATTTCCATAGGAGTTTGGAGAAGTTGTGAAGTATTAAAAATCGCAAATTTTTGTGATAAACCAATTGTTGTCATGGATTATGATTTAAGGCAATAATGTAATCTACGAAGAAATTGTATAGATCCGATGACTATAGCATACAGCTGCAATATTAACTGAACGATCGAAATAAAGTGCTTCCATGGAAAACTTTTTTATTTGACGAGGTATCTTCAAGAAATTAGATCGGTATCAAGTTTTTGTTAGAAACCTTTGTATTTGTGAAGGGTATTATAGCTTCGGTGCAACCCAAGTTAACGTTTTTTTTTGTTCTAAAATATACACGAATTAGATTATACAAACAAATAGCCATCAACTTGGCTTACAAGTCACTGTTGCCAGACATAACTTTGAAGTCGTAGAAAATTTCGTTTATACGGAACCAGCATTAACACTAACAAGATTGACAAGGCAATTGAAAAGTTTAGTCCACTCTCGAAGAACAAAAAATAAAAACATACAATGGGAACATCTGATGAGTGGGCGTTAGAAGTGTTCGAACAAAAGCTTTTGCAGAAGATATATGGTCCTTTTGCATTGGCAACGGCATATACCGCCGACAATGGATCGAGGAGCTGTACGAGATAGAAATTCAGTGAATTAAGAGACAGCGGCTACAGTGGCTGGGTCATGTTGACCGGATGTATGAGAACACTACAGCTTTAAAAGAACTCGATGAAGTACCCGCCCGTGGAAGCATTAGAACAGGAAGACCTCCACAATTAGCGCCAAATAGCGAAAATAAGAAACGACTGGAATGTATTAAAACGAGCAGCATACAAACATATTTATACAATTCCAATACAAATGTTTAAAAATAGATGCAAACCTACACAAAGACGTTAGCTTATGGTATAACAGTTTTGGCACACTACTCTTAAGAAAATAATATATGTATGTAGAAACCT